GGGGGCCAATGGCCAAGAATGTCCTCAACAGAATCCAAGACACATTTACGGAGATCCTCATCTGGGCCAGGCACAGGGTGATAGGCAGAGGGTCAGGAACCCCAAGATGTGGGACTTCCCTGGTAGGCTGGTGGTTAAGAATCTGCCATGACAGGGACATAGGTTTGATCCCTGGTCAGGGAACTAAGATCCCACATGCTTGCAGTGCAGTCAAATAAATATATAGAACTCTTTTAAAAAATTGTTTTTTAAAATGTGAACTCCCATGCCTTCCTTAACTTGCCCCCACTTCCCTCGACAACCTCTTAGGGTCGCTATACAGATGAAATAAAGGGATCCACGTAAAGCCCCACTTCAGGGTTTGCACAGGTGGAGTGCTCTCCGCCCATGAGATCCTAATAACATGGAAGCAGCCATGGGCAATGATCACAGGTGACCATTCTTCACGTGGTTCTTTGCCCCCAAGCCAGCTCCTCACCACTGTAACCCTGTGGACATCAAACCGCCAGGAAGGTTCTTCAGGAAGTCCTCCCCTCACTCCCTCTTTTCGGGGCTCCCCACCCTTCATTCTTACCACAAACTTTGCTGCGGAAAAGTCCAGTTGTTGAGAGAGAGACTTCCTGCCGCTGCAGAGGGAATAAGGCTGCCTGTCCCCGGAAGCCGCTGACTTCTTGGTCGTCGAAAAATCTGTCTCTCCTGTGCAATAGGGATTGACACCTAACCCAGGAGAGGAAAGAAAGGGAGAAATCATTTGTGCTCTCAGAGAGTGAAGCTCTCTGAGATAGAACATCATCCTTGCCCACAGCCAGCCCTCATGAGCTGGGGTCCAGAGTGAACTTGAAGGATAGTCGCCAGGTACATGATAGGGGAGGGCAGAGGAAGAAGTAGCCAGTATTCTGGCTACCTTCGTCCATGCTGTGTGCACCACGAGATGAGGGTGGGACTGTCACTTCCATTTCGACTCAGCTCAACTCAATGAGGGTTGATGTGCCCTCTCCTAAGTGTCAAGTAGGATGCTGGGTGCTCAGGAAACCACAATGATCTGTCAACTCCAGTCCCTGCTGCCAGGGGTGAGGAGGGGGGCATTTCAACAGAGAGGAGGAAAGCAGAAATAATGCCCCATACAGGCAGGGCCAGAGGAGAGATGGGGCAGAAGCCTGGATGATCTGCCTCTTACACACACATTTGCACACAGGCACATAAACACCCCTAACTCGAGTGCGTGCTCAGTCATGTCTGACTCTTTGTGACCCCATGGACTGTAGTCCACCAGGCTCCTCTGTCCATGGGATTCTCCAGACAAGAATACTGCAGTGGGTTGCCATGCCCTCCCCAGGGATCAAACCTGGGTCTCCTGCATTGGCAGGTGGATTCTGTACCATTGCAGGACCAGGGAAGGCCACACATCCCTAACACAGGCAGGCAAAGAGTCAACTCTTGAGTCCTTGGGGATCTAAGAAAATGCATGGCAAACATCTTCTCTTCCTTTAGGGGGAAACTCAGACTTCCTTTTACCCAACCAGGAAATCTACTCTACTGCTTCCAGCTGGAAAAATCTTCAGAGATTATCTGCCATGGCTCCTCACTGTCTAAGACCAGTGCTTCCCAACTGAAATACAATGTAAGTCATATATGTAATCTGAAAATTTCTAGTAGCCACATTTTTAAAAGTAAAAGAAAAAGAGTTAATGTTAATAATTTTTTTTTTTTGATCATGCTTCACAGCTTGAGGGATGCTAGTTCCCTGACCAGGATCAAACCTGTGTCTCCTGCAGAGGAACTGCAGAGTCTTAACCACTAGACTTCCAGGGAAGTTCCTAATAATATATTTTATTTAGTTCAATATACCTAAACTCTGTCATTTCAACATATAAATAATCTGCAAAGTTATTAATGAGGTATTTCTTTAGTTTTGTGCTTAGTCTTTTCAATGGGCACATCTTTTACCCTTCTGAGCATCTCCATTTGGATAAGCCACATTCCAAGTGAGCAGGATGTGGACGCTGGCCACTGTGCTGGACGGCAGGCACCCAGAGAAGGGCGGGGCCTTCCCAGTGTCCCTCCACACAAGTGGCTTTGGTGGGAAATTCCCCAAGAGAAAGATGTGAGATTGGTGGTGGTTCAGAGGGAAGAAGGCAGGTTGGCACAGAGCTTTGGTTTGCATTTATTCTTAGGGTCGGAAAGACTTAAATTGGTTTATAGGCTGGAGAAAGGAAGCCACTACCCAGAGTGGGCTGAGAAAATGGGACACAACGGGCTTTCCTGGAGATGTGAGATCTTTAAGGGAGGAGGAGGAAAGGGATGAAGGCCTGGGGGAGAAAGGAGGTGTTGTGGTTCACTGGCGATCCGAGTGGCTGGGGAAACACTCCCCTGCCAGGACAGCTGCTCCCAGCATCTCTCCACACTAGGAGGTGATTCTCCCCAACGCACAGGGACCAACTGACCCCAGAGGGGCCAGGAGAGAGAGGAAGCCGAGAGGTTCAGAAAACCATGCTCCAGAAAGAGGGGACAAAGAATCATGGGGCGGAGTTGGGAAGTGTAGCTATAGATGGTCCTAAATCTGCCTGGGCATCATGTTTTTTAAAAATATATAATTTTGTTTATTTATTTATTTTTGGCCGTGCTGGGTCTTTGTTGCTGTGAAGGCTTTTCTCTAGTTGCAGCAAGCAGTGGCTACTCTCTGGTTGCAGTGCATGGCCTTCTCTTGTTGAGGAGCACAGACTGCAGGGCGCATGGGCTCAGTAGTTGCGGCTCCTAGGCTCTAGAGCACAGGCTCAGCAGCTGTGGTGCATGGGCTTAGTTGCCCCCAGGTATGTGGGATCTTCCCAGACCAGGGATTGAACCTGCGTCTCCTGCATTGGCAGGTGGATTGTTAACCAGTGAGCCACCAAGGAAGCCCAGGAAATGTGTTTATTGGGTGTTTTATCATAAGTGGCTCAAATTTCTATGCCCCACCCAGACCAGCTGAATCCATGCCTGCACAGATGGAGTCTGGGGGAGTCTTGTGTGTTTATCAGGCTCCCCCGGTGATGTGTCCAGCCCTTCAGTGGTCCTTTGGGGAAACTCAAAAGTCCAATCCTTACTTTATCGTGAGGAAATGGATCCCAGTCTCCCATTCTCCTGCCCTCACCAGGGCAAGGGGACTACCGTATCAAGAAGGGCAGCCGTGCATGGCTTGGGTTCAGGGAATATGGACAAGTAAACATGAGGCCAACTTGGATCAGCCCATAGGACAGAAGCACCTAAAGTCACTGGCTGGCACCATGGGAGCAAGACAGGCCACATCAGCTCCACTTCTGCCTTCACTGAGCCAGGCAGAAAGAGAAAAAAAAAACCAATTCAGGTTTTCTGAGGTTCCTGCTCCCACTGTGAGTTCAGATCAGCAAGGACACAGGCCTGAAGTCAGGACAGAACAGACTCTCCAAAGCACCAACTGGTGGTCTGAGTCCTCTCCTGTCCCTTCTGAAAATTACTAGATATGTTCCAACATCAAGGAAATACATCAAAATTATCACCTTGGCTGGAATGGGAGGGAGCTGAAACCAGTTAACATGTAGCCCTGAGTTCACTGAAAATGGGGTTATAAAATCCAAATGCAAAAGCCAAAACAATTTTTGACAGGGAAACTATGTGTTTTGATGGTTATATAATAACCTGCTTTCAAATTGTGGTCCCTTGGACAGAAGGAGATCAAACCAGTCAATCCTAAAGGGAATCAATCCTGAATATTCATTGGAAGGGCTGATGCTGAAGCTGAAGCTCCAAAACTTTGGCTACCTGATGTGAAGAAGTGAGTCATTGGAAAAGACCCTGATGCTGGGAAAGATTGAAGGCAGGAGGAGAAGAGGGTGACAGAGGATGAAATCATTGGATGGCATCACCGACCCAATGGATAAAAGTTTGAGCAAACTCCAGGAGATAGTGAAGGACAGGGAAGCCGGGTGTGTTGCAGTCCAGGGGGTTGCAAAGAGTCAGACATGACTGAACAACTGAACAACAATAATAACATGAGCTTTTATTTAAGTTTACATGGAATTATGAAATGGGGAAATAAATGGGAAAGGGTCTAGAGATCAACAACCCCATCTCCTATAAGGCAGACAATTCGGAAAAATACAGTCTCAAGTATTATTATCAATAATTGATTAAGCCTGATTGATTAGACTTAATCAGTGAAGAAGTGGTGATAAAAAACTAAATAAACCTTCCAAATCACTGCAAAAACTAAACACAGAAAACAAATGACAAATGACCATAAAAACAGAGACTCTTCGAAACCCCATGGACCATAGTCTGCCAGGCTCCTCTGTCCATGGCATTTCCCCAGCAAGAACACTGGAGTGAGTTGCCATGCCCTCCTCCAGAGGATCTTCCCAACCCAAGGACTGAACTCTTATGTCTCCTGCACTGGCAGGCAGATTCTTTACCACTCGCACCACCTGGGAAACCCTAAAAAGAATATGAGTAAGAGCAAATATTAGTTATAATACTAAAGTCAATGGCTTAAGCCTCTCTCTCAGAAAGACTGCCAGATTTGCTTTCAAGATATAAGTGCATATCATTTACAAGAGATAAACAAAGTAAACAAAAAGAATGAAATAAGAGGATGGGCAAAAACTACCAATGACTGATGCTGAAACCAGCCACTTAGGAAAAAGAAAAAAATCTATCTAGATTCTTGTTTCATATCAAACATCAAAAGTAAAGTACAAAGAGAGTAAATTTAGGGGGAAGGCAAATAATTTAAAAACTAGAATAAAATACTGTGTAGAAATAGTTTAATCAATATGGTTCTACACAAAATAATCTTCATATTATATAACCTCTGTGGTTATCTCCTAAATCTGTAATCAAATATGATTTAAGGAACATGTGCAAGCATATATCTATAATTACCTTGTAAATCTTGATAAATTGGAGGCACTTTAAAAGTATCATAGTGTAATAATTAAATAAGTGTACACGAGAAGAAGACTGGGAGAAAACATCACCAAGTATTTAATAGCTCTCTACATGTGGAAGAAACTTTTAGGATTAGACAGGAAAAATTTGATGGATTTGATTAGATCAGATGAGAACATCTTCATGTTAAAAAAGTAAAAGAGAAAGAATAAACTGAAAAAAGTATGTTCAGCAAATACGGCAGCCAAATATGAATTTAACCAAGACACTTTTTAGAAATAACTGACAAAATGATGATCATCCGAATAGAAGAACAGGAGCACACCAAAGAAGAGAAGTAAATAATGAAGGGGTGTTGAACTGCACCTGTGCAGAAAACTATTCTTTCCACTGAGTTTATAGGCACGTGGACCAGTGAGGGTTTGACAGAAGCAAAAAGCACACTGAGCTAGGACTTTGAGGAATTGAATGAAGGGGCCATTTACAAATGGTAGATGGGGCTTAAGAAAACAACAAAGCCCAGTGAGGTACTCTGGAGCTGGCATAAGCTGAAAGCTGTTACCAAGGCTTCCCTTGTGGCTCAGTGGTAAAGAATCTGCCTGCCAATCAGGAGATGCAGATGGTCTCTAATATTCAGATCTGGCATGGTTTTAACTTGATGCTTTTCTGCATTCTTCACATTTTCCTGAATTTTGAGTTAGTGTTATCCTATTCGCAACAACCAAGAATCATGACATCTTTCAGTCCCAACTCCTATCCTGCAACAGGTGAGGTGACAGAAGCTCTGGGAGAGACCACGGACTTCCTAAGACCAAGGAGCCTGTCAGATGACAGAGCAGGAGTAAAGCCCTTGCCTTCTATCCTCAAGTGTCAGCTCTTCCCAACTTGGAACTTGAGATTCACCTAGAAGAGGAGTTGACCAACCCACAGAAAGCTCTATCGACAAAAGCAGAGGTGCTCCAGCCCCAGGGCACACACATGCAGTGTAGGATGCTCCAGAAAAGCTGTGGATACCGTCTTGGGGCAGTCTGGCTGGGCGAGCAGAGACCCACCCTCCCCCAAACCTCCCACATCACTGATATTCCCAATGCAGTAAGCTGACTACATACAAATGAGTTCTGTTCTGAGAGTGCATTCATAAGTCCAATTTGTTCAAAAGTCCAACAAAGTTGGTCTAGGTACCCAACTAACACAATTGGCTATATATTAATAGTAATGTACTGTAATAGGTTTACAACACTTTTCACACAAATAATACGTACATTAAAAAAACACCAAAAATAAACAAAACACTTTAAATCTTACGGTGCAGTGTCTTGAAAAGTACAGTAGGCCAGCTACATCACTACTGCTTTTACACTTGCTTCCAGACATGCTGGGCTTGAAATTAAGATACTACTGTCCTCTATACAGTCCTATACACTAAAGGACACAACCATTTGTAGAGGATGCATGCACATGACAATGTATGCCAGACACGTGAACTAATTTCCAGGATTGGACTTGGGAATACACATTTGCATCTTTGACAGTTCACAACTTAAAGGTTAATATGTAGGAGACTTACTGCATTCAGCAATATCTAAGCCCTGCTCCTGAGGATGGTTCAATGACACTTACTGGTTGAGTTGCTGCGTGTTCTTTGATGACACGCTTTGGGAAACAGGAAGTTATTACTTTGTGGGTCCAGTTTTCCAGACTTTTCTCGAGAGGAAGTTGTAGTAGTTTCCTGAAAAACAATTTCCATTTTTTATTCAGAAAGTTAGAATAGAAAAAAAAAAATGAGATCTCCACACTGACCATGGAAATACTCATCAGATGGTCTGTTTCTTCCTCTGTATTACAGGCTCTATGAAGGCAGGAATTTAGAATTACTGCCATCCATTAACTCATTGATACAGTAATTCATTTTGTCATCCACTAACTCATAGATATAATAATTCACTTAATAAAGAATATGAAATGAGTATCTTTATATTATGAAGAATACAAATTACAATAATGAATAGACATTGCATAAATTTTGAACTAACACAATAAATGTTGAATGATGGAAACTTCCCTGGTGGTCCAGTGGTTGAGAATCTACCTTTCAATTCAGGGCACGCAGGTTTGATCCCTAATCGAGGAACTAAGATCCCACATGCTGCAAGGCAACTAAGCCCATGCACTGCAACTACTGAGTCTGGGGACTCTGGAGTCAGGCCTCACACCTGGAGAGAAGTCTGTGCCTCAGTGAAAGGTCCTCCAAGATGAAACTAAGGCCAGACACAGCCGGAAGTAAATAATTACATGTTGAGAGTTTACGTCAGCTATTACATGTCAGGTTCTCTGTTAGGCACTAGGAATATAGCTGTGACCAAGACAAAGGAGGACACTGATTTTGGAGAAAGGGCATTTTAGTGATGGAAGACCAACAGCAAACAAACAAAAAGTTGAAAAATAATAAGAGAGAATAACACGAGCTGTGAAGAAAAGAACTAGAGAGTGACACCAATGAGAGGCCAGGAGCTATGATTTAGAGAAGATGACCAAGTAAGTTCCATTGTTCTGGCTTCTCATAGGCACTTAGAAACAGTCACTGAATACATGTTATATAAAGAGATTTCTCGATATTGAACCATCCTTGCATTCTTGAGTGTATCACATTTTTCTTATACTGCTGATTTCTGCCTGTGAAGATTGCATTTAGGACTTGAAAAATCAATATTCTTAAGTTAAATTTAGTTATTATTCTGTTATTGTTTTTCTACTTTGTCATACTGATCAAATTTTACCTGCTTCTTTTTTATACTAATAATTCAGAAACTCTGTACTGAATCTAGAAGCAGTACATACTAAACCACACACTTGAACTCATCTCTCTATCAGGCCAGTGATAAAAGAGAAAATAAATGACCCTTTCTCAGATAAGAGGAGAACTTGAAACAACTTGCACTCACTCCCCTCTCCTCACCCTGGTGTTTTACAAACAGGACAGGGGAACAGAAGACTAGAGGCTGATAATGAGCATGATGGTGTTAATTCTTTTACTTCTCTTTTCAGAACTATTTTTATATTGTTTTCCTATTGCATAACTTTATTAGCCACAATGATTGTGACTTAATTCTTGAGTTATGTTGGCTTTATTAGTCACGACCATAATCCTTAGGAGAGAAAGACAGAGAGTGTGTGTATGTTCTCTGAAAAACTATGCAGATGGAAAGCTCTCTGAATATTTGCATGTCTGAGAATGTCTTCCTGTGGTCATCACACTCGAGTGATTTGCTGAGTATAGGATTTTGGAATATTGGTTATTCTATCTAGAAACTTCAGCTGGCTCAAACCTGGGATTTAATGTCTTAGCATAGAGCTTTGCTCAGGGTATCTGCCACCCTTTTCTGACAGGTTTATCTCATTCAAGGCCAGGGTTGGCAGTGCTGATTTTCATGTGCCAAGTGCCTGCTGGCTTCCAGCACCTGGTGCACTTCCCGAGAGGAAGGAGGACCTACTGCTCTTCTCCCTATGCTCCACGTAGCCCATCTTCCCCTCCAGCCCCTGGCACTGGAGGAGGCAGTTCAGCTGGCCTCTGTCAGACTCAGTCCCCAGGCCAGTCCTTCCTGTGTGGTCAACGGTAGGCTAATGAGCCCTTCCCTCAATCCAATCTCACCTGCACCATGTCACGCAGAAGGTTCTCATTGATTCCAGAATATGGTTGGCCCCTTTCCATGGCTTCCCATTCTGACATGCATTTCTCCCTGTTGGTACTTTTTTTTTTTTTTGATAGAAATTTCTAAGAGGTGGGGGAGTTAATAAAGTGTACTCAGTAACTGTGTAACCATCTGGAGCCAGAAGTCTACTCACAACCTTTTTTTCTTATTAAAACTGTATCTAGTTCTGACACAAGGGGATCCTGCAAGAAATTCCACATATCAATTCCTTTTTACTTGTACACATCAATGTCCACAACCAGAGAACTCATCTTCCTAGACATTCATTTTCCCTTTTTCAGCAGTAGATGGCACTATATTAACTTGAACAAAATTATCTTCTCTAACAAGGGTAGACCAGGAAATGTGTTAAAGGAGAGAGATTATATAAGGGGGGACTTATATATATTTAAAGAGATTATTGGTCTTCCTCAGTGGCTCAGATGGTAAGACTCTGCACGCCCAGTGCTGGGGTCCTGGGTTCAATCCCTGGGCAGGGAACTAGATCCCACATGCCACTATTAAGAGTTCTCATGCCACAACTAAACATCCAGCATGTGGCAACTAAGACCCAGGGCAGTCAAACAAATAAGTTTTCAAAAAATTATATTTATTGTTAAATTTCTTTACTTTAATCCTCTTGACAAAGCCCCACATTCAAAACATGATTTAGAAACTGCTTGACATAAAAAGCCAATTGATAGCAGAAAAATCATAGAAGTGGAGCATTTGGGGGGGGGGTTCAGATTACCTGACGTCACATCCAGAAGTGTGTGCAAAGTTTCTTCAGTTGTGTCCAGCTCTTTGAGTCCCCATGGACTGTAGCCCACCAGGCTTCTTTGTCTGTGGGATTCTCCAGGCAAAAAACTAGAGTGGGTTGCCATGCCCTGCATCAGGGGATCTTCCTGACCCAGGGGATGAACCCACGTTTCTTGCGTCTCCTGCCTTGTCTGGGAGGTTCTTTACCACTAGTGCCACTGGGGCAGCCCGACCAGAAGAGGGAATCTTACAAGACTTTGGGCCCTTAAAGAAATAGAGCCAAGACAGATCCACTGTCTTGGCTTCAGGAGCAGTAATCTCACTGTGCACAGACCAGCCATGGAGTCTCTTCTGTGGGCCAAGGCTTTCTAGGCCAGTCCTTCTTCACAACTCCATGTCCTGCGGCCAAAGCTGTCTCAGACATGAGACATGTGGCCTCTGCCATGAAGCCATCATCTGAACACCTGGAGGCTTTGATAAGTTGCCTCTGACCAGGTGGCTGTCAACTCTTGGACAGTCATGAAGACTGAGGTGCTTCACTTTGACACCCTCTGCTGTGAATCTGCTCTCTGGATGACTGCTACGTGGAAGAACAGAAATGTACCACCGTAAACAGAAAATGAGATCCACATAGCAATTTTCTATCAGACATGTATGTAAGAAGCTACATAGTGGGACTTCCCTGGTGGTCTAGTGGTTAAGACTTCACTTTCCAACACAGGGGATGCAGATTTGATCCCTGGTCAGGGAGCTAAGATCCCACATGCCTCATGGCCAAAAAACAAAAAAGTAAAACACAAAAAATGTTGTAACAAATTTAATGAACACTGTAAAAATGGTCCACACCAAACTTCTAAAATGTGACACAAATGAACCCAACTATGAAACAGAAACAGAACCAGGGACATAAAGAATAGATGGGTGGTTGCCAAGGGGGTGGGGCACAGGAGAGGGCTGGGTTGGGAGTTTTGGATTAGCCGATGCAAACTAGTATATATAGGATGGATAGACAAAAAGACCCTATGATATAGCACAGGGCACTGTATTCAATATCTTGTGATAAACTTTAACGGAAAAGATTATGAAAAAGAATGTGTATCTATCTATCTATATAACTGAGTCATTTTGCTGAACAGCAATAATTAACACAACACTGTAATTCAATTATACAAAACAAATACAAGTAAAATTTAAAACAATGGTCCACATCAAAAAATCTTGTCTTGTTGTTCAGTCTTTAAGGTCGTGTCCAACTCTTTGTGACTCCATGTACTGCAGCACACCAGACTTCCCTGTCCTTCACTATCTCCTGGAGTTTGTTCCAGTTCATGTCCATTGAGTCAGTGATGCCATCCAACCATCTCATCCTCAGCCACCCTCTTCTCCTCCTGCCTTCAGTCTTTCCCAGCATCAGGGTCTTTTCCAATGAGTCAACTCTGCATCAGGTGACCAGAGTATTGGAGCTTCAACTTCAGTATCAGTCTTTCCAATGAATATTCAGTGTTGAATCTTAACAAACAAAAGATCTATATGGCCCCTAAAAGCTCCAAAATAGAGGCAATGCACAAGTTCAATGGGAAGGAAAGCATGATAGCCCACTCCAGTATTCTTGCCTGGAGAATCCCATGGACAGAGGAGCCTGGCAGGCTAGAGTCCATGGAGTTGCATAGAACTGGACATGACTAAAGCGACTTAGTACGCACGCAGGAGGGCACAAGTTCTATGGACCTTATATTTCCCGGACATCAACAAGGATCCAGTGCTCACCCAGACTCTGGGATCATCTCAAAGTATATATTCACTCTTTTAAATTCATAAACCCTGAGCATAATGTTTCCCCCACCAGAAAAGCACAGTGGGCCTAGAGCAGAAAAAAGGGTCATGAGATGAGCAGCATTAAGCCTCTTATGACCCTGGGCTGGTCAGTTAATCGTTTGGTCTCAGTGTCCTCTTTTGTAGGCTGAAGGGGTGAACTTAACGCTTCTATAATCACTTTCAGCTCTATACTTTTTAATGTAACAGATGATTATGTTTAAAGAGTCAAATGACTGTTGTCCTCTCTGAAGTGATCACATGGCAGAAGGTCACTCACGAGGAGAAAATATCTTCCCTTGGTTCTTGGGGGAAGCCTGGCTAGTCTCCAGCAAGGATGTCCTGGGTGGAGTGGTGTCTCATCAAAGGAATCTCTGTAGGAGCCCCTGTGAATGCTTGCATAGTACAGCTCCCCCATCAGTCCACAGAACAGAACTCTTCTGTTCTTGCTCCCAAGGTGGGGCTGCTC